GGGGGGGGGGGTCACTGTGAGCACGGGGCAGACAGTGGGGCGATTGTTTCGCCTTTGCTTTCAGGACATTCCAAAGCCAGACAGTGCTTCCCAGTTGTTGAAAATTAATCGGTCATTCCAGGTGGCTTCTTTTGGGCTGTGAGCAGACAGAGATGTACAGTAGTTGTCAAGTTTGAGGGCCAGCCCCCTGTGGAAAGGTGCCTGTCCAGGTGATGGTACAGTACCTTTTTTTCTTCTCAATGTTATTATCAAAACACAAACAAAATTTTTAAATACCACTGAGAGTTCACAAAAGCCACGGAATACGTTTGTGGCCGTGTAGGAAATCCATGCCCTATAGCTACAGAGAGAGGATCCATCCATCCAATCCCCTGAGGGAGACAGAAGTACTTGGGAGACACAGTGCAGTGGAAAAATACCAGACAGGGGTTTATCCCACCTGTGACATGGAGATGACCAGAAATCCTGCCTTTCATGTTTTTGAGAATAAGTAAGTTAATACAGATCAAGCAAGCAAGGTGCATGACACACGCTAAGTAATTTTAATTGTAAATCCATGTCATTATTTTTACCTTTACAAACATCCATTTAATAGGCATATACCTTGGCCCACTTGTATGATTTTCTTTTTGGGAGGGGAGCAATTTCAGAAAGCAGATTCCTAGTCAAACAGAAAGCTCATTATTTGGGAACTCCCTCACCACTCTCAAAGACCTCAGGGGGAGGGGACTCACAGCAACATAGCCACAACAAAGCCAGGGGATCAAGAATAAGGGCCTTGGCATCAGGCTGCCTGAGTTTTGAATCTTGGCTTTACCCCTTGCTAGCAAGTCAACTAACTTCCCTGGGTCTCAGTTTCTCCATCCATAAAATGGGGATCGTGAGACAGTAGGATTGCTCTGAGGCTTCAATTGAACAAACACGTGAAACATTTAGCATAGGGCCTGGCTCAAAAGAACCATTCATTACTTAATTTATTTTTACTGGGAAACAGGATACCTGATACAAAATTCAACATGTGCAAAAGGGTGACAATTGTCTTCCTTCCTCCTGGGGCTCCAGCTAATCTGTTACTCTCCCTAGATGCAGCAACCACTGCCACCGGCTCCTTGGATACTCTTCCAGATATTCTATTCGTTTACAGATATATAGGCACCTAGACATATAGTATAGATTTTTTCTTTCACAGAAATTGTAGAGTATGATTTACATTTGCATCTTTTTTCACTTAGGGGAACAGCTTGGAAATTCTATTTCTATTATTATTATTACTATCATTGTTATTATTATTAAAGGGACTAAGTGCCAGTGGGATTAGCTGATGGTTGTAAAGGGGGAGGGGACTGAGGGCCAGCTGACAGCCTGTCTGGCAGCACAGAGTGTGGCTGTCTTCGGGCCAAGAAAGGATATGGGTAAAAGAAGAGAAGGAACATGAGAAAAGCCCCCGTGGCACCAGATAACTGCCCTTCCAGCCAGCTATTCTTTCGGTACTTTCCCAGGAAAGCAGGGTCCTGCGCCTCTAACTGTGCACAACATGTGCCGCACGTACCAGAAGTAACATCTGGGCAGTAGCCACCCCTGGTTAAAGAGACAGGCTCTCTTTTTGGAGGAAACTTGGACTGGGTTCAATTCTAGCAATCTGATGAAGGCAGTAAGAAACAGATACCGAAGGCGTGGAGGGCAGGCTTCTCCAGGGTGATTCCTTTCTCCAGGGGAAGCCAGCAGCCTTCAAGATTGCTTCCCCCTCCTGATTTGCAACAGCTTTGGGGACTCGGGCCATGGGAACCCGCTGCCCAAGGATTTTTTCTGTCCACAGAACATCACCATTGAAGTTCTTCTTGGGCCCCAACAAATGGGAAATTAGAGCTCGGTTCCAAAGCTGCCTCCCTTACTATGGTCCCACATCAGCTGTGTGACTTCAGGCAGGTTGCTTCACTTCTCTGAGCCCCTGTTTCCTCTTTTCACAAATGGGGGCAATAGTGCCTAACTCGAAGGGCTGTTATGAACGTGGAATGAAACGGAGCTTTGAAAATTGATCCAGCTGACATATGCTCATTCTCTTCTCTCTGCTCATCTCTCTATTTTCTCCTCCAAGGGTCTGGAATTTCAGTCCGCATCCTCTGATTCAAAAACATCCGGTAGATTCTGGCACCGAGTCCCATCCCCAGCTGCAGAAACTCCTTGCTGGGTCCCAGCTGGGTGGCAGAAGCCCTGGGTTGCACTCATGGCTCTGCTCTTTACTTGCCGCGTAACTTGGGCTTGCTGCTGGGTCTCTGCCATCTGTACAATGAGATGACTGCCCATATTCCCAGGAATTGTACCTATCCTCTAAAAATGGCACATATTAGTTTTGTTTGGTTTGGACAAATAGTATATATTCACTGTATAAAAAAAAAAATCCTAAAAACAATGAAAAAAACCCTACCTGGCAATAACATATATAAAATCACAGCAAACATTTGGCTGTCATTTCAGTATTGTCTCTATGCATTATTGTCTCTAGAAAAGTATATTTTTACCCAGTGGGGTCCTAATGTGTATTCCACATCTTCCACTGAATATCTCAGAGTGTTTCCCTTGCCTGAGCAGTCTTAGGTGCTATGGATTTCCTTTTTCCCAGCACCTACCCACAGCCTGCTTTATGTTGTCATTGACATCAGGACATTCCTCCTCCCTCAACCCTTTGTTCCTTTGGGGGGGTGCCCTGCCCACCAGGATTGCACCCACCACTCATTCCTCTGGAGCCTAATCAGCTGCAAAAAAAGCCCCTGGGCTCAGCCTGCTGTTGCTCAGTGGTTGACCATTGACCTATGATCCAGGAGATTGCAGTTAGATTCCCTGTCAGGGCACATGCTCAGGTTGTGGGCTCTGTCCCCAGCTAGGGGTGTGCAGGAGGCAGCCGATCAATGATTGTCTCATCACTGATGTTTCTCTCTCTCTCTCTCCCTCTTCCTCCCTCTCTCTGAAATCAATAAAGATTTTTTTTTTATTTTTTA